GTTCTTGGGTTTCTCTCTCTCTCTTTTTTTTTTTTTTTTTGTATTTTCTTGGTTCTTGAAGCTATTTGGGATGGATTTTGGGTGAAATAGGGCTGTCGAGTGGGGTGGCAGCTGTGGTTTGTGCGTGTAGTGAGATGGTGGTTAAAATGGTTGCAGTTTGTGTGTTGGAATCGGTGTTGGCTTCGAATGGGTGGTTAGAGTTGTGTTTGCGGCTGGGTTTGGGTGACTGGTTGTAGCTTTGCAGTTTGGTGGTGGTGTTCAAAGTCGGGTGACTGGAAATGTCTATTGGTGTGGTTCTAGGCTGAGGCATGTGAATTTTTGTGGAATCATCATGTTGATGATGCTAGAAATTGGGGTTCTAGCATCAATCGTGAATTCCAGTAGATTGAATTTAGGGAGTGTGAGGGAGTGAAGATTTTCTCACCTAGAGTGTTGGCTGCGTGAATTCTGATGACGGGAGGAAATGAGGATATATGAATAGTAAAATATTAGGGTACAAATCCCTAGGTAACCAATTGGGCCAAGCATTTGGACTTTAGGGGTTTTCAAATTGGGCATAAATGGATTGGGTCTAAATAATCAAGACTTGGGCTAATAAGTAATTGGACCTTAACTATTGATTGAATATTTAAAATGATAAGAAATTTGATACTTTAAAAATATTCGGGATGCAATTTGATTTGAATGGATTTAAATTGGTTTTATAACGACTAGACGAACACGCTTTCGTTTTAACGTTTGTTGTTAAAATTTAGCGACACGTTTTTCAAAATAATAATTTAAAATTCTCGGTCGCTACACGTGTACTTGATCTATGATTTATTCATGTGAAGAGTATAGCACGGTGTGCCAAAAGGGAAAGCTTGTTAGGTATGCTCGACTGAACACTGTAAACGCTAGCACATTAGTTAGCTGTGTCGGGAGCTAAAATTTGAGACTTCTGGGTTTTAATAAGAAAATAACTTTGAAAATCACAAAAAAAAAACAGTTTTCTTTTTCTTTCTTCCCTGCTGTGTGGGCTGAGGGGGAAGGGATATGGCATGATCCTGATAGGACCAACACAGATAAAAGAATATGTTTACTGAATGAAGAAATTACATTAGAAGAAAGAAGATTACAGATAGATGCCCTGTATTCGTGAGGCAGGCACTCCCCCATTTTCTAACTCCCAATTTCTGCTTGAATGATTCTAAAAACTACCCTCCCTTATTTATTCTAACTAACAAGTTAATTTAATTCCCATGATACCCCTAATCCTTTAATCCTGCCATGAAGGTAGGCCAAGGCCTCTCACATCCCATGACCTCAGTTGTACTTTGACTGCTAAACATTTCTAAGCTTACCATTTTGACTTAGAATATGGAGTGTAGCTTATAATGTAGTTGTTTTACTGCTGGTGAAAGGTTCTTCAATCACATTTTCCCCCATCCGAATTCATAAGGTTTTAACTTGATTTTCATATTTTAACCTTCGAGTGTTAAATTTGAATATGAGCCTCTGTTCGGTATAGATTATTTTTAACTTTTTAGAAACTTTTTTAGGAGGTATAGGGTGGAGACCACAAAATGTGTAGATAATAATTATTGGTTTCGAATATGTGGTTGAAATTAAAGTTTGACTTTGACTTCAACTTTGACCGGGTAGTAGAAGTAACTTTTAAGTTACTATAATAAATTAATAATGTTAGCTAAACACACGCTGATGCTTGAAATCGTTTGGTCTTTGCTTGTCCAGAACCAGATGAAGCTCCCCATTCAGTAATACATCTCTCTTTTTTATTAGATTTTATTATTATTTCCTCCCCTGACAGGATGTATTAGCAATTTAGCATTAGATGATGGGACACTTTTCTAGTCACATTTGTATTTTGGTCAATATATATTTTAATGTGAGATACTAGTCTCAAGGATTCTTTACGAATATTTGAAAATTTATCTACTCTGTGCACTTGCAATGCATTTTAAATAAATGGTTTATTTTTATGTTCATGTTATGTTTTATTTTTTCGAACTTATTTTCACATAAATGTATACACAAGTTCAAGTTCATTAATGCTTAATGTGCGATGAAGAATTCATAAATTATAAATAAACTTTGCTCATTGAATTCTGAACTTTTGTTTTCTTAAGCGGTCAATTTCACAATGGATAGAATAATCTATCGTAATGTTGGTATACAGAGGAAAATTGATACAAGGATCTGTAAATGAAATTGTGAATGATTAATAGGTTAATTTTCTCAGTGGAATTTCTTAAAAGTAGATTGTTGCAATTTGTATGTCCAATGTAAGTCTGTTGCTCTTTTGAGCTTTTTGGTTCAACTCCAAGAGTCTCAATTTAATTCCCCGAACTGTTTGAGCTTCTTTTTGCTATAGCTTCTGCAACATTTTATAGTTCAGGGGAGTATCTTGAAGAAATTGAAACAAGAGGACAGGATCAATCATATTAAGTATGAAAAAGAGCATCCTGTCTATGTTGCTACTAGTCAATCAACCCCCTCCTTTGAGATCTAAATGAAACAAAATGCTGCTTCGGTCATTGACAATAAAAATTACGCACATATTTGTAATTTATGTAAAATTGTTCTGCTTTCACATTTATAAATATTTCTTGATCTGTTTTCTTTTCTTCTCA